TCCCCCCCCCCCCCCCCCCCCGCGTGAGCTAGGGTGGACGAGATGGTGCGGCTCATCCCGCTCGACAACCACCGGGCGAGGGAGATGCACACCCCCAACTGGGAGGTCATCTGCAAGCAGTACCAGGCGCGTGCTGTCTCGCGGAGCCCCCAGCCGCCGCCCGCGGTGTGACCTTGCTTGCGCGGGAGCTCCGCAGCCGCCTGTTGCGTCCCCCCCACAAGCTCCAGACCACAGCACAGCTGTGAGTGCGGCTGGACGGGGCGCACGCACACTGCCTGCGCCTCTCGCCTCGCCGCAGGCCGCCTGCTGGGCGAGCGACCTCGATGGCAACTTACCCGACGACTTTTGGGGCGCGAGTGCAGTGGTGGCGGAGAGGGACTCGTGCGGCCGTAATCGTGAGTGGTGCCCTAGCCCCCTGGTAGGCAAGACGGAGGACGGGACGCCAATGCCGCCGCTCGACACCTCCGAGCCGCCGACGATGGCTGCCGCTGACGTTCGCCCCCTTGGGCTGTGAGCACTGAGGCGCCACTGGCGGGCAGCGTGAATCTGCTGCACACTTGATCATTATTGTGACAAACAAACCGCAGAGTATAAGTTAGCGGCAGTACTGGTATGGTGTGTGGCTTCTGCCTTCTCTTCGATCACACAGCTCGCTCTCAAACTTGCGTGTGTACATTATGTCCTGAATGTGTGTGTATCTGCCGTTCGTCCCGCCTGGGTGTTCATATTGCCGTCGTCCCAGCTGTGTGCAGGTGGGCCCGCGCCCCGCACCACACAGCGGGTCCCCAAGCGAGAAAGAGACAGCCAGCTTCAGGCTCGGACCAGGTCTCGACCCTATACGCCCTGCGACTAACTACCCCCTCGCCGACCACCCGACCCCCCCTTCCCTTTCTCCAACCTCGACGAGCCGAGGGCCGTCGAGCCTCTGCTCTGCGCGCCCCCGCCCTTCGCCGCCCCGCACGAACACACCCGCCGGGAGGGAGCCCATCCTCGAGAGCCCATCGCACCACCAGGTGGTAGGAAGAGAAGTAGTGGGCGCTTTTTAAATCACGACACTGCACTATTTCGTTGCCGCCCGGCGCTTTCCACTGTCGCAGCGCTCTGGCTGCGGGTCCGTGGGGTCCGTGGCGCGATCATGGGCCGCGCGATGCCGAGAGACTTCCCTGGGTCAGACCGAGAGGAGAGAGAGGGGGGGGGGGGAGAGAGAGAGAGAGAGAGAGAGAGAGAGAGAGAGAGAGAGAGAGAGAGAGAGAGAGAGAGAGAGAGAGAGAGAGGCTCTTGGGAGGGGGGGGAGAGAACAACTCAGCAGAGGTCAGAGCTGCCGACCGGGTGCGCGCGGCCCTCCCCTCTCTCACCGCCCTCGCCGCCCTCACCGCTCCCCGCCCTCCCGCCCTCCCGCCCTCCTTGCCACCTGCGCGCCGTTCACTCACACCTTTTCCGTCCTGGCTCACAGGTCTGTGACGCGCACTTTGCGGCATGGCAGCCTGCCCCTGGACGGGGCGGGGCGAACGATGCTAGAACTAGCGGGGTGGCGTGTGTTTGGGGATTAAAAGGTGGGCGTAAGGCCGCCCCGGCTCTAGTGTGTCGTCGTGGCTAGTGCAAGGGGCTCTGTCGAGCCGCCTGCGGCGCTCCCGCCGCCGGCGGGGTGCAGCGGCGCTGCGCGCCGCTGCGGAGGCCGCGCTGCGCGCGGGGGAGGGGGAGGGTGTACGGGAACCAGGGGGGACCGGGGAGGGACGTGGTCTTCACCCTTGGGACCCCCTCCCAGCTCACTGGGAGGGACGACGGCAAGAAACCCAAGGGTGAAGACGGGTGCGTCCCCCCCGGTCCCCCCCTTCACCCCATCCACCGTCTCACCCTCTACCGCGCCCGGCCGAGGCGACGCTTGGGCCCGATGGACGCGCAAGAGCCCGCAGCAGTGGTGGCGTCAATGCGTGAGCATATCTCCAACGTACAGCTGCAGCGGGACGGCTGCAGCACGTTGCTTCAAATTGGGGGTCCTGACGGCAGCGGCGCGTGCAAGCAGGCGGTGGTGGAAGCGGGCGGGCTCGCGGCTGTGGTGGCGGCGATGGGCGGACACGCTACAGACGTGGTAGTGCAGACATTAGGCTGCGACGTTGTGGGAGGCGTCTTGGCGACATACAACGAAGCGCGCGAGCAGGCGGTGGTGGACGCGGGCGGGCTCGCGGCTGTGGTGGCGGCGATGGGCAGACACGCTACAGATGAGGAGGTGCAGCGGGCTGGTTGCTTTGCGCTGCGCAACATGGCTGCCGGCAGGGACGCGCGCAAGCAGGCGGTGGTGGACGCGGGCGGGCCAGCGGCTGTGGTGGCGGCGATGGGCAGACACGCTACAGATGAGGAGGTGCAGCGGGCTGGCTGCTTTGCGCTGCGCAACATGGCTGCCGGCTGCTACGCGCGCAAGCAGGCGGTGATGGACGCGTGCAAGCGGGCGGTGGTGGACGCAGGCGGGGCTACGGCTGTGGTGGCGGCGATGGGCAGACACGCTGCAGACGTGGAGCTGCAGCGGGCTGGCTGCGGCGCTCTGGAGACCATGGGGATGGCTTATTTTGGCTGCGACGCGTTCCAGCAGGCGGTGGTGGACGCGGGCGGGCTTGCGGCTGTGGTAGCGGCGATGGGCAGACACGCTGCAGACGCGAAGCTGCAGCGGGCTGGCTGCGGCGCGCTGCAGAACATGGCTGCCGGCAGGGACGCGCGCAGGCAGGCGGTGGTTGACGCGGGCGGGGCCACGGCTGTGGTGGCGGCGATGGGCGGACACGCTGCGGATATGGAGCTGCAGCGGGCTGGCTGCGACGCGCTGTACAACATGGCCGAGGACAGCGACGCGGGCAAGCAGGCCGTCCTTGGCGCGGGTGGCCTTGCCGCCCTCGTTGCAGCTGGCACCTCCCACGCCCCTTGCCACGCAACCGTCTCCGAGGCGATCCGCCATCTGCTCGGCGACCTCGGCGCCTTCGCCCCCGCCGCTCCAGCGCCGCCACCGCCACCGCCGCCAGCAGTGGTGACGCCACCTCCCTCTGCTGCTGAGCTCGCTGAGGCTGAGCGGGCGCGCCGGCGCGCCGAGCAGCGGGCGCTGCAGATGCAGGAGCAGCGGGAGGAGGCGGAGCGGCGTGCGCAGGCCTCCCAGCAAGGCCAGCAGGGACTTCAGCAACAGCTGACTGCTGCCCAGCAGACAAATGCGCGGCTTCAGGCAGAGATTGCGCAGCTGAGGGCCGCGTCCCAGTCTGCGCAGGCGTCCGCCATCGACAGGCTTGTTGACAGCAGCTCGCCTGGCGGCGGCTTGCTGTCCGTGGCTGCTGGACCACTCACCCACTTCAACAGCCAGTACCAGGGTGCGCGCCGGCGCTGCTACTCCAGCCTCGACATCTGGCGTGCGGCGGGGCCGGCTTCGCCGTTTGGTACAGAGGTGTCGATGCTCCGCCGGCTGTGGGCGGAGGGTGGGCGGGGGCGCCAGGCGGGCCCGAACCAGGACATGCTCCCGATGGGCTTCACGCTGACGCGCATCGAGGCGATCGACGTGCCGGCTAGCGACCGCCAGGCCTTTTACAACCTCGTCGAGCAGATGGATTCGCGACGCTCGTCGGGCACCAATCCCGGCCCCTTCAACCCGATCTACCCCGGTGGCGACCGCACCGGCGAGAAGGCGGCGGTGTTTGCGCAGCTCCGTGCGCGCTTCCTGCCTCGCGACCGGCTGCAGAACCAAAACATCATGCTTGCGCTGCACGGCTGCTCGCACGCCGTAGCGGACAACGTGTGCAAGAATGGCTTCGCCGTCGTGCCTTACCGCGACGAGCCATGGTTTGGCCGCGGACTTTACTTGACCACCTACGCCGAGTGCGCTTGCCGCTACGCCACGGGCGAGTTCAAGGAGCAGCCAAACCCGCCAAACTCCGCCGGCGAGCACGTTCTCATCGCTGCTTTCGTCGCGCCCGGGATGGTCTACCCGGTGAGCCGCAAGCCTGACTACGCGCGACCAAGCAATTTGACGAGCAGCAGCAAGCTCAAAGACCGAGCGCTGCAGCCGCAGTTCAACTCGCACTATGCATTCGTTTCGGCGGCAAACAACTACGAGTGCATGGACGGAGCGCGCAACGGGGCCGTCATGGACTATGACGAGCTTGTGTGCGGAAACGAGGTACAAGCTTTGCCCGCATACCGCCTCTACTTTCGCGCGCCCTAGATGAGATCCCGCGCGACCTCCCTCACTCATCGTCTGTGATGTGCCCGCTTTGTACGTCGTGTTACGTGGCCAAATGCGGGCGTATTGCCACGCGACCCTCTATCGCTGCGGCGCCACCCTTCGGCCTTACGCGCCTAAAAGAAAGCGTAGAAATCCGATGCCTCCCGCGCCCCCCTGGATGGGCTTCTTTTTACTTTTTTGTACGCCGGGTGGGGAGGCCCTAAAAAACGCGCAAAATGGAATCGGAGCCTCGACGATGGAGTCGGAGCGCCTCGATGGAGTCGGAGCGCCGCTCGGTGAGTCAACGTCGCACAGGGCTCATGCAGGGGCTACCGCATGGCCTCCTCCTGCCGCTCGTCGTCCATTCCATCGAGCAGGTCGGCCAGTTTGCGCGCCCGCTCGCGTCCCCGTGGCGACTGCGTCCTCCTCGCCGCCGCTCTCCTCGCCGCCGCCCTCCTCGCCGCCGCTCTCCTCGCCCTCGGTGGAGGCCGCCGCATTCGTGCCGTTGGCTGGCGTCGGCATCGCGGTCGCGCGCCGCCACTGCTCGTCGTCAAGCATGTGCCAGTACTGCTCGCCCTGGCAGCCGTCGTATTCGACCTCGTGCACGAGCCGGCCGTCCACGTCCTCCTCCCGCCCCGCGATGGTGGCCGGCCACCACAAGCCTTGCTCACCCAGGATCTCGACGTGCGTTCCCGTCTCCACGATGGTGTGCCCCGCCTGCTTCGCCGTCTCGTCCACCCGCAGCCGCTCCCGCCGCTCCCTCCGGCCGTCCCTCGCCGTCGGAAGGGCGTAGTTCGGGCCGCTCTCCTCCACGCCGGCCAGCACGTCCGCGGCGCTCACCGCCTCGACGTCCGTCGCCTCCTCCGCCGCCGGCTCGGTCGAGCCGCCCGCCGCCTCCCGTTGTCGGCGCTGCCGCTCGCGCTCGTGGTGTGCTGCTCGGCGCTCGACGCCGCCGCCCTCGTGCACACACGCCGCCTGCGGTGCCATTTCGGCTTTCGCGCGCAAATTTTGTCCATTTTGCACAAATTCCGCGACAAAGCCCCCTTCGAACGCGCGAAAGCGCCGGCTTTCGAAACTAACTCGGCGCCCGCCCTCTTTCTGGCCGCGTCCCTCCACTGTCCAATCTTCTGCATTCCTCTTTTACATACATAAAACCACCCCGGGGCCAACCGTCTTCGGTTTCGTCGCCAAGAGTGTACTCTTGGGCCCAAACCCGAATAAAAAAACGTGTACCCCCCTTCGAGTGTATCTCGAGTGTTGCTATGGAGCGTCCGTTTCAACACGCGCTCGCGCGCTTGCGTCTGCTGGCCCCCAGAGAACATGTTGCACCACAAGCTCCCGGCGGAGCCCAACTGCTCGCACTCGACAAGGCAGTCCATCCACTCGCGGCAGCTGAAGTCGAACTTCCACTCGATGCGGCTCGCGCCGGGTTGTGAGCTCGGCGAGCGAGGTCGGAGAGCGACCTCAGTTGGCCCAAGCCGCACGCCACTGAGGCAGAGCGGCCGTGCGCGTACGACGCCGTACGCGCACGGCCACTCTGCACCGACCGCAGCGCTGCATTGCGGAGGCCGCGATCGGGCGCGTCCAGTCGTAGTCGAGGGCGGCGCAGGCGTCTCGCGCGCCGGCCAGGAGAGCGCCGGCCGTGCGAGACGAGGCAGCGCACTTGACGGAGGCGATGCCTTGCTCGACGGTACGGCCGACGGCGATGGCGCGGGCGGCAGAGGCGCTGGCCGATCGCTCGGCTACGGCGGAGGCCGCGATCGGGCGCGTCCAGTCGTAGCCAGTCGAGGAAAGCCGCGCCGCACGCCTCCATGTCTGCAGCTGACTGCGATTCCCGCAGGGCGCTGCTGCTTTGGCCGTGCATGAACGGGACCGAGTCCACGTTCACTCCCGCAGGCGTCGAGACGTACCTGTGGAAGCGAGGCTGAATCGTGGCCGCCCCGGCGCAGCCCGTTGGGTCAGCCACCTGAGCGGACAGGGAGAGCAGCCTGGGGAAGGTGCCCACCGTCGCTATCAGCCCGAGCGTCACAAAGATTGCCCTGGCTGGGAAGGCGGCCGCAGTCTTCATGAAGGCTGTGGGCCGGGGCTTCTCTGCCGGCCCAGCAGGCGGCACGACCGGCGGCGCAGAGGAAGGCACGCGCGTGGCTGCGGCGGCCGCCGCCGAGCAGGCTGCACCGGCTCCTGGGGACGGGCCGTCCTCGTCGTCGCCGTCGTCGCCACTGTCGCCGCCCTCGGCTTCGGTGGCGGCGTCGGCATCGGTGGGGCCACGGTCTGGGTCTCGCCGCGGCTGCTCGGCCTCGTCCGTGTCGATCCGCATCGTGATGTCGTCCACAACGCCCTCCGCGCCCTCTTCCTCAAGCGAGGCCGGCCGCGACGCCGCCTCGGCGTCCAAGTGCGGATTTAGGAAGTGGCCGTCAGCCTCGTCCTCCGAGTCGAAGCGGTCGGAGAGCTCGCACGGCTTCAGCGAGGCGGAGGACGCGCCGGAGGGGGCGCCGCCTGAAAGGGACCAGTTTGCGGCGGCGGGAGGGGGCCGCTCTGGCTGCGGCGTGGCGCCTCCCGCCAGAGCCAACTGGCGGCTGCTCCGGCGGGCGGCGGCGGCAGGGCCAGCGGTGGAGGTGGCGACGGCGCCCCTCGGCTGCGCCGAACGTGCGCCGCGTCCACCGCCGCCACGTGCGTCGCGCTCGCGTCTCGCTGCGGCGGCGGCTGCCTCCTCCGCCGCGCGCGCCGCCTCGGCGACGCGCCGCTGCTCGTACGCCCGCTGCTGCGCCAGGCGCCTCACCTCTGCCCGCGCCTCTGCCCGCGCCCGCGCCACTGGGTGCTCGGACTTTGCGCGCTCCTCGGGATCGAGAAGCGCCAGATCATAGTGCCCCACCTCCAAGCGCGACTCCGGCGGCGCCCAGACCAAGTCGATGCGGCCTTTGGCCCCAGAGGGCCCAAGCTGCGTGGCAGAGTCGAGTAGCTCAAGCTCGTCTGCGGGTGGCCGCCGCCCGCATCGGCCCCGCAACCCCCAGAGCACGACCGAGGGGATGAACGTGTACACGTCCACGTCGTGCACGTACGCGATCCCTACGCTCATGTCGCTGCCTCCCATGCCCGCCACGGCGGAGCCGCCACCCGCCGCCTCGGCTGCCAGCTGCGCTCTGCTGCGGCCATCGTACCCAAGGTGGAGGTCGATCGGCACCGCGCCCTCCCCCGCTCCAACCATCGCCCGATCGGAGATGGCGGTGCGGAAGAACTGCGCCAGGGAGCGCCTCAGCAGCTGCGGTATGTTCGCGGCACTGTGGCCGCGCATCAGGCCCAATCTCTGCAGCCCTGCGCCGGTTGCGCGGAAGTAGCAGAGCAAGCCACTTCCTGAAATTTTTTGCACCTTGCCACGCACGACCAACGGCCTGGATTCGCGGCGCAGCATCACAAGCTCTGCTGGCGACGGCTGGCGCGCGTCCTCGTGCTCGATCCTCACCCGCCCTTTATAGTGCCGACACATCGCGAGGGGGTGGTCGCCGCCGCAGCCGCTGCACTTGAGTGCGGATCCCGCCCGCGTGGAGGGTCGCCGTTGCTCCGCGGGCGGTGCAACCTCGCACCCCGCATTGTCGAACAGCACTCGTTGTGGCGACGGACGAGGTGGAGAGTCAGCCTCTTCCTCTCCGGAGCCTCGGAAGGCCGGCAATGAGGCGGCGTTCCTCTCGGCCCAGCGGAACTGTTGTCGCCGCTCGTCGCCATCGGGGGGCGGAGGTGCGGCCTCGGCGGCGTCGTCACACGCGCTTGCTGCTTGCGACCGCAGAGCACGCATGACCGTCAAGAGTGGATCTCGCTCGCGCGAACTTTCCGAGCTCGCGCGAAGATGGAAGTTTCCTTGCGATCTCCGAGTCCATCTCCCTCAAAAAGTATTCGGCGCTGGTAACCTCATCAAGCCGAGCTGGCGGTATCCGTTATCACTGCCCCTTGCCTCAGCTGTGACATTATAAACTGTGGACAGGTTTATTGCTCACCCCCGACTCCACTTTGTCTTTGACAGGGAGCACCTTGCCGCATCCTTGCCACACACCCTATCTTCCGACACAGCGCCGTGCACGCGGGGATCCACGTGCGATACACACGTGCTGGGCGGTGGCGGGGGCGGCTGTGGTGAGGGTGGTGGTGGCGATGGCGGGGGCGGGCTCGGTGGCGGTGGGCTGCGAGGCGGCGGCGCGACGGCGGGGGCGGGCGGGTGGCGGAGGCAAGGGAGAGGGTGGGCTCCGCGGTGGCCGTGAGGGCGGAGGCGACGCGGGCGGCGGAGGGGACGGAAGCACGGGAGACGGTGGCGACGGCGGCGACGACGGAAGCGTGGGGACGGGCAGGCCCGATGGCGGGGCGTGCCTGATGGGAGGGCGGCTGACAAGCGCTGCGCTGGGAGAGGTGGTGAGCCGCTAGACTGCGTTTCTCCTCCCGCACGCCGCTGTGCGAGCACAAGTGTGCAGGACGCGACGGCGGCGCGCACTGCTCCTCGCTCACTCCGTCTTCCCGCTCACTCGCCGCGACCAGGAGGGAGGAACTCGGTCATACCTACAGTCGGATGCGGTGCTCGTCAAAGGCGCAGGGCAGGCCGTGCGTGCGCGCAAGCCGTGGAGGGAGCTCGCAGTGCTCGGGCTGGCGCGCCCACGCGTTGTGCTCGGGCGCAGCTGACCCGACCGCACTCGGCGGGTCGCGCCAAGGCGCGGGGCAGCCTGCGCGTCCCGACAGCGCCGACAAGCGAGGCGCAAGGCTGCGGAGGGCAACCTGAGGAACGCGCGACGAGCGAGTCGCGTGCGCGGCGAGCCGGCGAGGTAGCCGCACAGCCGTAAGAGACGACGCGGATGAGCCAGCCCGTCTCGGAGGGAGAGTGCCGCCGACCCAAGTGGGCGCCCGCCGGACCTGCGACACAAGGCCGCGGCGACAGCCGCGCCGGAGGCGCAGTGCGACAGGATCGGTCCAGCGCCTCGCCGGGGAGCTGCAGGCACCCTCTCTCCACGGACGGGGCCACGGAAGCCGCTCAATCGGGCGCAGGACGCCTCGGTCTGGGCGGCACGGGCGGGACGCCGCGTCAATCGTTTCGAGGATAGTCTCTGTCCTGCCGGCAACGCCGCCGGCCTAACATCGCGGCTCGCCATGCTGGCTGCCGCCGCCGCCGTAGCTGGTGCGCTGCCACCCATGCCGGACAGCCTCGCCGAGGCGGCGAACGCCGTCCGCGAGGAGGGCCGCTCGACCTGGGCAGCCTACTACAAGCACGCACGCGGCTTCGACTCGCTCAGGCCCCTCTCGCACCGCGGCGTCAACGACTGGGGCTCCGTGGGCATGATGGCGATCGACTGTTTGGACACCCTCTGGCTGATGAACCTGACGGCCGAGTTCAAGCAGGCGCGCTCGATCGTCGAGGAGATTGATTACACGCCCGCCGGCCGCGAGGCGCGGTCGGTCTCGACTTTCGAGATGACGATCCGCGGCCTGGGCGGGCTGCTCTCCGCGCATGCACTTTCCGGCGACAGGCTCTTCCTCCGCAAGGCGGAGCAGCTCGGGGAGGCGCTCAACACGGCCTTTGTGCCTGGCCGCTTCCCGCTGCCTTCCGTCAGCCTCAAGAAGCCAGGGGCAGGTGCGGCGAGCCTCACATCGCCCAGCCCACGGCACCGACGGCTCCAGCACAGCGCAAGCCACAGGGCTCCCGCCGCTGACTTCGCGACTCAATGACGCGCTATGAGCATGCACCCAACTCCCCCACGTGCACTGTGCCTTGCACTTTGACTGCCGCGTCAGCTCCTGCTCGTGTCCGGGTGCCCCGCAGCGCCCCGCCGGAGGGCCGAGCCCCCCCCCCCCCCCCCCCGCCCGGCCCACACAGTCGAGCGGCGGCGCCCACCCCACCGGCCGCGTCTCCCTCGGCGCTATGGGCGACTCCTACTACGAGTACCTCGCAAAGACGGCCATCCTCGACCCGCGGCTGCGCCCGACGGCGGGCGCGATGTTCAAAGCGGCGCTGCTCGAGATAGAGCAGCAGCTGCTCGTGCCGAGGGAGCACGGCCGCACCTTCCTCGCCGAGGAGAGTGCGTTATGGGGAGAGAAGGGGAAGAGATGGGGAGATGCTGCAGTCCGCATCTAGGCCTCAAGAGAGGGGGAGAGAGGGGGAGAGAGGGGGGGGAGAGGGGGAGAGAGGGGGGGAGAAGAGAGGGGGCGAGAGGGGGCGAGAGGGCGAGAGGTGGCGAGAGGTGGCGAGAGGTGGCGAGAGATGGCGAGAGAGGGGGGGGGAGGCGGGGAGAGGGGGGGAGAGAGATGGGGAGCGATTCGCTTCTAGGCCTCGATGAACGGCCGCCGCGGCAGGCCGGCGGGCGGCGCTTCGGCGGCGGGCGCCCCCCGCGCCCCCTCCGACAAGCCGCTCTTCTCAAAGATTCTCAAGATGGACCACCTTGCCTGCTTCCTGCCCGGCCCGCCTAGAAGCGATGCCTAGAAGGGGAAGGGGCAGCACCCGTGTGTTCCGACTCTCTCTCTCTCCTCTCGCTCCCTCTCCTCTCGCTCCCTCTCCCCTCTCCTCTCTCCCCTCTCCTCTCTCCCCTCTCCTCTCTCCTCTCTCCCCTCTCCTCTCCTCCGGCCTCCTCAGCCGTGTCTTCCGACTGGGCGCTCGCGAGGACGCATCCCTCTGCACCCCGACCCTTCAGCATCACGCACGGTGATGCGTGGTGGGGTTGACCCCCACCTCACCTCACCCCAGGCCGGGCACCATCGCCGTGGCGCTGCACCACGGAGTCGTCCCCAGGGGAGAGGGGCACGAGGAGGTCGCGGCCGGCAACACTAGAAGCGGGAAGGCGCATGCATGCACCCCAGCTAGCGCTGCGCGGGTCCGTGTCCTCCAACCCGCGCTCGAGAGGACACGCGTGCTCAGCTGATCCGTCTTCAGCCGCATTCCACTGTGCTCAGCTGTGCTCGTACCCCCCTCGTCCTCACGCGGTGCTCCGACTGCACTGCACGACACCCGTCTCCACACCCCTCATGGTGGCGTACTCAGCAGCGTAGGAGGGCATCCTCAAGACAGAGGTCCAGAGGATAGTCTTGTTGTATTCAACGTAGGAGGGCATCCTCAAGACAGAGGTCCAGAGGATAGTCTTGTTGTATTCAACGTAGGAGGGCATCCTCAAGACAGAGGTCCAGAGGATAGTCTTGTTGTATTCAACGTAGGAGGGCATCCTCAAGACAGAGGTCCAGAGGATAGTCTTGTTGTACTCAACGTAGGAGGGCATCCTCAAGACAGAGGTC